AGAAAGAAAGAAAGAAAGAAAGAAAGAAAGAAAGAAAGAAAGAAAGAAAGGACTCATAGATAGAGAGAACAGATAGGTAGTTGCCAGAGGTGGGGGGTGGGCAAAATGGGTGAAGGTGGTCAAAGCTACAAACTTCCTGTTTTAAGATAAATAAGTCTTGGGGAGGTAATGTACAGCATGGTGACTATAGGAACAATACTGTATTGTGTATTTGAAAGTTTCTAAGAGAGTATACCTTAAAAGTTCTCATCGCAAAAAAATAATTTATAACTGTATATTGATGGATGTTAACTAAACTTATTGTGATAATCATTGTGCTATGTTTGCATATATCAAATCATTAAGATGTACACCTAACACTAATATAATGTTGTAGGCCAATTATCTCAATAAAAAAAAACACAAATATTACAAGCCTAGAATTTATGGGAGAGTAATTGTGTTCTAAATTCTCATAATTCATATTAAGAAGTAGAATACGTCTATAATTATAAATCAAGAAATAGAAACTTAATGGATGTGTTTAAGTTAATGACAATTATCAGAAAACAAAAGTGTTTTATTCTAACTAGAAGGTATAGAGGAGGTAGAAGAGGTAAAATATGGTGTAAATAGAGAGATGTGATCAAGTGCACTAGATTACCTGGGCCAGAGCAAAAGACAAATATGGAACTGGCATAAAGTGACTAAGAGCATTTTAGTACAGTTTATTAACAAATCTGTGAAATTTTAACAGCAGCTAGCATTGAGCATATAGAAGCCCTCTGAGCTGCAGATACTCAGATATAACCTATATATTGACACTAGAAACTATCAGTCAGTGATTTAAAACTATCTATGATTGCCGGGAGCCGGTCCATGCTTGCTGTTTCAAGGGACCTGGCATATATGTTCTTAATATGTTTGCTCACCTTCTTGGCACTATGTGTTTTAACCAAGGTCTCTGAGAAAGGTTGTTTCCCCAGGTAGGGATTTTCCCCTGAAGTTAGGGAGGGAATAAAACCTCTTAACTAGTGCCAGGTGGGTAATTAATCACTTTAACTACGAACAATCATGCTTAAGCTACATAATCTTTACTCCCTGGAATGGAGATAAGAAACGCCCTAACCTTTGTAATAGAGATTGATAGGATTGAATCAACTGGTATAAATACAGATGTAATAAGACAGCAAGACACAGAACTTAGAACACAGAACTTAGAACACAGAACTTAGAACACAGAACTTAGAACACAGAACTTAGAACACAGAACTTAGGACACAGAATTTAGAAGACAGAACCTACACAGAACCTACAGACAGAAGAACTTCGCTGGAGAGAACATGGCAAAAGATCCTGGACTGAACCTGACTACAGAAATTGGCAAGAGAACCTGACTAGAACCTGGTGACTGAACCTGGCTAGAGAACCTGGACAGAACCTGGCTGGAAAACCTAGCGAGGGAACATGGCTACAGAACCTGGCTGGAGAACCTGGAGAACCTAGCAAGAGAACAAGGACTCAGAACGTGGCTGGAGATACTAAGCAGAACTTCGCTGGAGATCCAGACCAGAACTTGGCTGGAGATCCTGGCTAGAGATCCTGGCTAGGCTGCTGATAAACTGAACGCTGTCTCTGTGTCCTTCCTTCTTCGCCGACTCCGTCCACACCTTTGGGGACCCCTGGACCCGCTGGGGTTGGACCCCGGCATATGATTAATATTTTTAAGACCCTAGTGGAGAAGATGGACGACACACATGAACAACTGGCAAATTTCAGCAGAAATATGGAAAGGAAAAGAAATAATCAAATGGAAATGCTAGAGGAGAGAGAGAGAGAGAGAGAGAGAGAGAGAGAGAGAGAGAGAGAAGAGAGAGAGAAGAGAGACCTTTAAATGGGCTCACCAATAGACTCAACATAGTCAAGGAAAGAGTCAGTGAAGTTGAAAATCGTTCAGTAGAAATTATATAAACTGAAATACAATAAAAAATTAGTTAAAATAAGAAACAGAATATTCAAAATATGAGGAACAATTTCAAACAAGCTAACATGCATGGAATTGGTATCCCATAGGAAAAAAGGATAAATATTGAAGAGAAAAAGGACACAATTTTACAAAAGTAATGAAAAATATCAAATTTGCAGATCTAAACAACTCCTATGCACACATCCCTATAAACCAAAGATAAAACCATGGAAAAATTGAAAAAACCTCTAGCCAGGATAGCTGAGGAATAAGAAAGATACAACTTACCAACTTCAGTCAGGAAAGAGGGGACATAAATATAGATCTATAGACATTTATTTAGTTTAACAAAAGAACTTTGCAAATTTCAATTTTTACAGAAAAGTTTTTGGTGATAAATATGACAACATAGATGAAATAAACGTGTGTGTGTGTGTGTGTGTGTGTGTGTGTGTGTGTGTGTGTGTTTATGACCTCAATAGTTCTATATTTAAAGTTATAAAATTTATAGTTTTTAAAAAAAACAACAACAAGAGCAAAACAACTCATGCCCATGTGATTTTTCTGGAAAATTTGACAAATACCTAAAGAAGCAATAACACCAATTTCATACAAACTCTACCAGAGAACTAAAAAGGTAATACATCTCAACTCATGCAATGAGGCAAAAATTGCCCTGATATCAAAACCAAATACTACTACTACTATTACTACTACTACTAATAATATCAACAATAATAATGCAAGAAAAAATACAGTCCCAAATCCCTGTTGAACAAACATTCCAAAATCCTCATTAGAATATTACTAAATCTAATTGAGCAACATATAGAAAAAGGTAAATATATTGTGATTCAATGATGTTAGACCCAGGAATCCAGGCCTGGTCCAAAAATTCTAAAATCAGTTAACATAGTCCCCCAATTTCAACAGATGAGGCAATAAAATTACATTAAATTCAATACATGCAGGAAAAGCATTTATTCTTTAGTTATGTGTATTTCATTATTTAGTGTGCCCACATTATATTGGTAAGTGAAAACTGCAATTTCAGAAAAATATGTATGTTCATGTATAGGACAGATGGATATATAAGTATGCATGTACACACACAATGATCTTAACAGATTAAATGTGGGTGTGTAATTGTATGTATATAGAAAATATCTTGCATATTATTAATGGCAACAACTGGAGATGGGATCAGATTTTGGAAGCTACCTGAAAAATTGGGAAGCTTGTCTAATTTTCTTGGCATACCCTGTGCAGTTTGAAATGTTTTACAGCAGATTCATTACCTATGTAATCAGTTTTAATATAAAAACTATAATTACGACTGGCTGTTAAGTGACATATTCTAAATGAACAGAGCATTAATGAGGGGGAAGAAGAGAAAGTTTCTAAATAAATATCTTGGAGTTGGTCAAAGCTTGCTGCCAGCAGATTTTTTTTCCCCTCACTGCTGCTGGAGCATTAGTTGGGACCTGAAGCAGATGATTAGCTCGCTCCTGTGAATGCTTTATCCTGCGGAGAAGGTTATGGCTGGGAATTATAGCACTTTGTGGTGTGCTAGTAGGTGAGGATGAAGCTAGAAAATTAACCATTTATTTCCTGCTTCAAAGAAAATTATTTTTAATTGATTTTTATAAAGTTGCATCTCATTTCCCACAGTGGGTGATATTTTAAAAATGTGTAAGTGGGTTACTTTGTAAATAGAGTGACGCTGTGAACAACTGGTTAAGAACATTTTTAAAAAGAGCCAAAGGGTATTTGAGGGTAAAAAAGACATTTGAGCTAATAGCTGTTTCAAAAAGAGGCCAAAAATGGTTTAAGGTCCTTCAGACCTAAGGGTCAGGGTGGGAGGCAGTCAAGAAAGAAACCAAGATGATTCAACTGTGAGAGCTCATCACCCCAATATTTCAAAATGATTTTATTCTTTGTATGTTTGGAGTTCTCCATAAAATTGTTTTTATAGAAAGGGTACCTCTGCACAAAATGTTTACAATAATTTATCTACTGGATCCATTTTAAAAGTAAGGGAACTGAGCCCTGGGTGCTGCTCCTACCTCACTGTACTGTCTTTTTACTTGTAAACCTTAGCTGTTCCACATATGTAGTTTTTACATAGAAACAGTTCAAGAGGTTAATAAATGTATCTATATATGCCCTGCCAGTCTGGCTCAATGGTTGAGCGTCCACCTATGAACCAGGAGGTCATGGTTCGATTTCTGGTCAGGGCACGTGTCCGGGTTGCAGGCTCCATTCTTAGTGTGGGCGTGTGTAGGAAGCAGCCAATCAATGATTCTCTCCCACCATTGATGCTTCTCTCTCTCCCTCACTTTAAATAAATAAAATATATATTTTAAAATGTATCTACATTTGTATTATACTTATGTAATTGCAATTATTTTTAAACTTTATGAATACCACTTACGATACAGTTCTTTTATTCATGTTGTTTTTAATAAATATACAGAATATTAAAAATGTGTGCAAATTGTAATAGTATTATCCTTCTTCCCCAGGAGCCTTTGATCCCTTCCAAGATTGCAACATTTTGTGAATATACCCCTAGAAATTGTATATATACATTCAAGCCCACATACATGTAAATATAGATATTTATGAATATGAACAGCGTTTTATAAAACCTAAATAGCTGTATTCAACTTTCTATACTTTGCATTTTTCTAAGCATACATCTTAAAAACTGTTTCATAATACAACATGAATTTAAGAGCAACAGGCTATATCATTATTTGAATGCACCATAATTTGATCATAATTTTAGCTGATTATATAATGTTTTTAAACTTAGCTGGTCAAATCAAGGCCAGTTAATCAGTGTAGCTGGTCAAATGAAGTTCATTTTGGTCAATATTAGTAATTTCCTATTAAAAATCATATTGTCAGTTTAAGTTGTCGAGTGTTCCTGTTATGTGGCGTAAGAAATCATCTCCAAACCCAAAGGCTTTAAAACAATAGTCCTTTAATGTTGCTTATGAAAGCATAGTTTAGATAAGCTGTTCTTCCGATCTTGGCTTAATTCACTCACCTGTCTGCAATCAGTTGCAAGTAGAGGAAGCAGCTTTGTTGATTTTGAGTCCTCTGGTGTGTTTATAGGTGCCCTGGGCTTGGCTAGATGTTGTCTCATCTAAGATGGCCTTTGACTGGAACAACTGGGATGATAGGATAAGAAAGTCTCAGTTCTCCACGTGTCTCTCAAGTCCTTTTCCACATTCAACAGTTTTAGTTGCATAAGGTAACTACCTATTGAATGATTTTGAGGATACTAATTGGAATTTGTTTTTATGTTTATAGCTACATTATCTCCCCCCAGACTGAAGTCAGTCTCTTTGCTCATATTGGGCCTTCATTTGCATGCTAATAGTTTTACTCAAGAGGCTGTGTCCTTAGTTGTTCAGTTGTATTTATTCATAAAGGATTATGTTAGAATAACTAGCAGGCGAAGGATAATATTAGATAGGTTTCAAAATGCTTCCTAAACAAACCTCTCTGAATGGGAGTGTGAACCTTTATTGGTGGAACTGATATTTCACCAGTCAGCATTTAGTAGCAGGAATACCAAGAATACTGGAAGAAAGCAGGCAGAGAGAACAGACTCCAACTACCAAATAAATGAGGCTTTACTCTGGAAAGGTGAAGCAATTCAGTTTATTTTATTGTTCTGTTCTGCCAAATTGTTTCCATATCTTACCATATTTTTTTTTTCTTTTCTGTTGAAGAGGTTCAGTTGATACCTCATTGTTCACTACTCTATAAAGACAAACACCCTTTCTAAATTCCTTTAAATATATATTTTTCAATTTATGTAACAACTAGAGGCCTGGTGCACGAGATTCATGCACTTGGGCGGGGGGGGGGGGGATTCCTCAGCTTGGCATGCACCCTCTCATAGTCGGGGAGCTCTTGGAGGATGTCTGACTGACAGTTTAACACTGCCACAGAGGCGGAAGAGGCTCCTGCCACCACCATTGCACTTGCCAGTCGCCAGCCATGAGCACAGCTCAGGGCTTCTGGGTGAGCAGCACTCCCCCAGTGGGAGTGCACTGACCACCAGGGGGAAGCTCCTGTATTGAGAGTCTGCCCCCTGGTGGTCAGTGTGCATCATAGCGACCAGTTGATTTGCATATTAGCTTTTTATTATATAGGACTAGGGACCTGATGCATGAAATTTGTGCACAGAGGGATGTCCCTCAGCTGGGCTTCCACCCTCTTATAATCCAGGACCCCTTAGGGGATGTCCAATTGTTAGTTTAGGCCCAATCGAGCCTAAACCGGCAGTTGGACATCCTTCTTGTAATCTGGGACCCCTCACTCCTAACTGCCTGCCTGCTCACCTCTAATCAAGCGCCTGCTTGTTCTTACTGCCTGCCTGCTCACTCCTTACCACTTGGCTCACTGCTCCTTACTGCCTGCCTTCTTGCTCCTTGCTGCTTGACTCACCCCTCCTTAACACTACTGTGGAGGTGGGAGAGGCTCCCACCACCACCATTGCACTTGCCAGCTGTGAGCCCGGCTTCTGGCTGAGCGGTGCTCCCTCTATGGGAGCGTACTGACCACCACGGGGCAGCTCCTGTGTTGACCGCCTGCCCCCTGGTGGTCAGTGTGTTTCATAGCAACTGATCGTTTTGGTCGTTCCAGTAGTTCTGCCATAACAGTTGCTGGGCTTTTATATATATAGTTGCTGGGCTTTTTTTTATATTTATAAGAATAGTATATTTCAGGCCCAGTGCATGAAATTCGTGCATTGGGGGGGTTGTCCCTCAGCTCAGCCTGCAACCTCTCCAATCTGGGACCCCTCAGGGGATGTCCGACTTCCGGTTTAGGCCTGATCCTGGGGATTGGTCCTAAACCAGCAGTCGGACATCCCTCTCACAATCCGGGACTGCTGGATCCCAACTGCTCACCTGCCTGCCTTCCTGATTGTCCCTAACTGCTTCTGCCTGCCTGCCTGATCACCCCATAACAGCTCCCCTTCCAGCCTGATCGACGTCTAACTGCTCCCCTGCTGTCCCAATTGCCTCCAGCTGCCCTCCCCTGCCAGTCATCTGAGATCTATTATCATCTGTGTGTTTCCATTAGAGAGAAAATATATTTTAGTATTCATCTACAGCAATTTCAAGTAGAATTAAAGGAATATAAAGTCTAATCTTAACTTCCTAAGATTCTCCAACTTGATGACATACATTATGATCTAATTATAGAACTAGACTTGTTAAATATATAGAATGATAGAACTCATCTCTTCTATTTTTAATTCTCATGTATAAAATTTATTTATATCTAAAATGTATCTTTCTTTAAGATAACTTCACATCAGGAGTCAATTAGCTAAGTCTTACAAAAAAGTATGCACTTAATTTTTAATCAATCATATTCTGGCAAAATCAGTATTGTTACCATTTTCTTTTTAAATCACCCTTAAGACAGATAAAGGCCCTAAATAATAAACTTATAACAGGTACAAAATTGCTTATGGGAATTCTTGTTAGAATTCCATATCTAAACTGGACAACTGGCCAGAAAGCAGGTCTCTGTCATTTTACTTCAGCTCATTTATTTTTCAACCCTCTCATGAGATTATCTCTTTGGCAATTAAATACTTTTTTGTCATCTGCAGTAGGTGGGAAACATAGTTGGTTGTGAAATTACAGTATATTTCAGTGGTCAAAAGAAATATTTGCATAAAAATGTGTTTTTGTCTTTTTGGTGGAAATTTAATATATTTTAAAGAAATGATCTCTGTCAGGATGCCATCTTTTTCCAAAGTATGTCACCACTTTCCTTTTCAGAGTTGTCTAAGATGGTGTTAGGAATTAGCCATTTAGTATAGGCATAAATCATCATAAAAATATTCAATAAACATTTAAAACTGTGATTTCAGCTTCAAGTTCCAATTTAGTTCATATCCAAAAGACTCAATTCTCTTTCATATTTCATCTTTTTTTTGTTCACCTTTCTGTTTTTTCCCTCTGTTCAACTATCAAGCCTATGTAAGCATTATACACTATAAATATGGACTATCAAGGACCAAACTTACTATACATATTTTGGGTACGCAAATTTTGTTGTGCTTTTTCTGCTTCCTAAAACCATAGGGGGGAAAAAGTACAACACTTGACCAAGGATGTTTATGAAAATACATATAATATTTAGAAATAAAAACATGGTAATTAAAATTTGGAAAAAACAATGGTCCAGTCAATGAAGACTAAGTTCAAATAAAGAGAAGTAAGTGCATTATATAGATAGATAGATAGATAGATAGATAGATAGATAGATAGATAGATATAGATATAGATATAGATATATAAAGAAATTATCTAAAATAAGACATACAGATATCTAAAAATTTTATCTAATAAAAGAGAAACATGGTAATTAGCGTACGACTGCTACCCTTCCCATTGGCTAATCAGGGTGATATGCAAATTAACTGCCAGCCAAGATGGCGGCCAGCACCCAGGCAGCTGGACGCAAACATGAGGCTTGCTTGCTTCCGTGACAGAGGACTCCAACGTTCCCCACCTGCCGCTGCCAGCCTCTGAGCTTGCAGTTTGAAACATTGTAACAAATATAGAAGCTAAACAAACTCCAGAAACCCGCTTTCAGCCAGCCAGGATCTCAGAGCTGGAGTTGATACAGTGTTTCGATTATAGAACCCAAACAAACCAGATACCTGCTTTCAGCAGAGGAAGCCTAAGAGCTGGAGCCAAGCCTCAGAGCTAAAGCTGGCCCAGAATAAAAAAGAAAAAAAAAAGAAAAAAAGGAGCAGTTGGGAGCTTCAGTCACCCGCCAGCCTGAAAACAGCCCTCAGCCCCTAACCCAGACTGGCCAGGCACCCCAGTGGGGACCCCCACCCTGATCCAGGACACCCTTCAGGGCAAACCATCAAGCCCCCACGAGTGCACCAGGCCTCTATCCTATATAGTAAAGGAGTAATATGCCTCCCAGCACCGGGGTCAGTGGAGCCGTGAGGCCTCCCAGCACCGGGATCAGCATGACAGGGGGCAGCACCCAAACCCCCTGATCGCCCTGCGGCTCTGTGTGTGACAGGGGGCAGGGTTACAACCTCCCTATCCGCCCTGCACTGTTCATGACAGGGGAAGGCCCCCAAACCCCCTGATCAGCCTTGCTCTGTGCCTGATGGGGGGAGCTCCCCAAACCCCTGGTCGCCCTGCGACTCTGTGTGTGACAGGGTGCGGCACCCCAACCCCTGATCAGCCCTTCTCTGTGTGTGACAGGATGTGGCGCCCCAACCCCTCCCCCCACCATGGGCCCTGCTCTGTGTGTGACGGGGTAGAGCTCTGTGGGTGATAGAGGGTGGCGCCCCAACCCCCTGATCTGCCCTGCTCTGTGTGTGACAGGGGGCAGTGCCCCAAGTCCCCTATAGGCCCTACTCTGTGAGTGACAGGGGGAGCTCCTCAACCCCCTGATGGGCCCTGCTCTGTGCATGACTGTGGGGAGCTCCCCAACCCCCTGATGGGCCCTGCTCTGTGCATGACTGTGGGGAGCTCCCCAACCCCCTGATAGACCCTGCTCTGTGCGTGACAGGGTATGGAGCCCCAACCCCCGGATTGGCCCTGCTCTGTGTGTGACAGGTGGTGGCGCAGCAACCTCCCCATCGACCCTGCCTTGAGTGTCACAGGGGGCGGTGCCCCAACCCCCCAATCTGCCCTGCTCTGAGCCCGACCAGGGGCTGCACCTAGGGATTGGGCCTGCTCTCTGCCACCCAGGAGCGAGCCTAAGCCAGCAGGTTGTTATCTCCCGAGGGGTCCCAGACTGGGAGCGGGCACAGGCCGGGCTGAGGGACCCTGAGTGCACAAATTTTTGTGTACCGGGCCTCTAGTATATATATAAAAGAAAAATTAGGAGTGTGGACAGAAAAAGACAGATTAAAAATTAAATATATAGAAGTACAAAAAAGAGAAAATTTTAGAGATAATTATCAAAGAGAAATAGGCTAATAATTCTAGAATTGAGAAAAGATAAAATCACAGATGTTAATATCTAAGCAAAGAAGCAAAGTCCAAGGAGAACAAATAAATGATGTCCCTCTAGAGCAGTGGTTCTCCACCTTGGCTGCACATTAGAATCACCTGGGAATCTTTTTAAAATCCTGATTTCTGGGCCTCATCCTCCAGAAATTCTGTTTCTTTGTTACTAATGTGGCCCCACCCCATAACAAAGAAACAGAATTTCCAGAGGATGTGGCCCAGAAATCAGGATTTTAAAAAGATTCCCAGGTGATTCTAATGTGCAGCCAAGGTGGAGAACCACTGCTCTAGATGGCGTATGCTGAAATGGCAGAACACCAAAGAGAAAGAGAAAATTTTATTAGCAGTTGGAAATAAGATGGTTTGCCTACAACTAAATGACATTTAGCCCAATAGTTGCCTTTTTAATATCATAATGGAAATACAAATATAGTAGATAATATATTTATAGCAATTAGAGAAAATAACCATTGAACTAGAATTATATATATTTTTAAATATCTCTCAAGAAAGAAGTCCAAATGAAGTCATTTTCAAAGTAACAAATGTTGTGTTCACTATAAAAAAAAAAGTATCACTAAAGAATATATAAAGTTAGTGCTATCCAATAGAACTTTCTGCAATGATGGAAATACTCTACATTTGTTCTGTCCAATATGGTAAGCCGCATGTGAAAAGTCACTTGAGCTGTGGGATACTGTAACTGAGAAACTATTACATTTTAAATTTAAATAACTACTATGGCTCATGATAATGTATTGGACAACCAATTCTTTTTTTTTTTAATAAATATATTTTATTGATTTTTTACAGAGAGGAACGGAGAGGAATAGAGAGTTAGAAACATTGATGAGAGAGAAACATCAATCAGCTGCCTCCTACATACCTCCTACTGGGGATGTGCCCACAACCAAGGTACATGCCTTTGACTGGAATAGAACCTGGTACCTTTCAGTCCACAGGCCAACGCTCTATCAACTGAGCCAAACCGGTTAGGGCCCAATTCTAAAGAATATAATTTAAGAAGAAATTATGTATAAAGAACTTAATAGGTAAAAATAAATTCTATAAATTCTAGTATTATTTACATTTTTTAAAAGTATCCCAACTTATTAGTAATATGAAGAAATTTTTTTATTTATCTGAAAAATTGTAGTCACTGTTGCCAATATTTTATAAGCAATATTTATCATAGATTTAAAAAGAAAACAAAATCAAACTTATTTTTTCTAAATTCAGACTAGTATGGTACTAGTATGAATGAATTCATTCAATTTGCCAGACCTTTTTTGTTGCTTACCCATCATCCTTTATTTCTTACTAGTGGCCCAGTGCATGAAATTTGTGCATGGGTAGGGTCCCTAGTGGCTGCCAGCTGGGGCCTCCCTTCCCCAGCTGCCGGCTGCTGGCCAGGGCCTTCCTTCATTCTGCGCCACCCCCTGGTGGGCAGCACATGTCATAGCAAGTGATGGAACTCCTGGTGGGTCGAACTCCCAAGGGGATACTTTTCATATTAGGAATATATATTAGTAAAACTCAGCTTTGTTCAGAGTAGCATTGGTGATGCAAAACCAGTCTAAATTGTCTACACATGGTGAAGCAAAACCAGGCTAAGCGGTCATGACAATCTTGCATTTCTTAGTTAGACAGGGAATTTACCAGCTTGCCATTGTAGCCAGCTATGGCCCTGTGTCCCTGTTCTGACAAATGGAACACAGCACTTGACTTCTATGTGATTGGAGTTGTTTCTAGGGAAATTTACCTTCTATCAAAAAGAAACATACAGATGGAAGCAGCTTTCTTGTTTGAATGTGAATGTAATGCCTGAAACAAGTCATGTTACACCCATGATACAGAGAGTATCTTGCTGTAGAGGATACACAGATATGAAATGAGCCAAGTTATTTGAAGACATTGTGAAGTCATCATATCAATATCGGTTTGTCTATGTCTAGACTTCTTATCATGGGGCATTATTCATGTCTTCATTGCTTTAAACAAGTATAGATAAGGAATTTTGTACTTGTAGCTGAAAATACTCTGATAAAATTACTAATTACCTCAAAGTTCTCTTATAATTAACTAGCCTTACTTTCAACTTATGAGAATGAAGATGGGATAGTGTGATCCTTTTTTCTTGAATAGTAATTGCTTGGTTCAAAGAAACCATGTGTCACAAATTCTGTGTGAAAAATTAATCAAAAATCTAGTGGCTTAAAATGGCAATTGTGTATTATTTCTTATTACTTTCTATAATTTTTGGAGTTGGCTGACTTAGCTGGAGTGTGTGTGTGTGTGTGTGTGTGTGTGTGTGTGTGTGTGTGTTTCTGTGCCATGTGCTGTTGGCTGAGGATACAAATGTGCACTTACTTGGCTGCTGGGAGCATGACTAGGACACACATTCGAGACAGCTTCCTTCACACTCAACTACACCTCCACTTTGGATCTGCAATGTGTATGGGCTGTCTGGGGCTTATTCCTGCTCATCACTCAGTGATCCTGCCATAGCTTTTACACTTTGTGGCGGAATCTCAAGAGAATGATAATGAAAGGTGCCAAGTCTCTTTTCGTAATTTATTGTCTAAAGTTTTATATATGTCTCCCAATTGACACCCCCACCATCCCAGCCATTCCCACCCAGGGCAAACCCACACGGCCCCAGTGTCTGTCTGTGTCCATTGGATAAGCTAATATGCATGCATACAAGTCCTTTGGTTGCTCTCTAACCGCCCCTCCCCTGCCATTTGTCTCTGGATCTATTCCTGTTCATCAAATTATGTTGATCATTATATACCACATATGAGTGACATCATGTGATATTTATCTTTCTCCGACTGGCTTATTTCGCTTAGCATAATGCTCACCTGTTCCATCCATGCTATTGCAAATGGTAAAAGTTTCTCTTTTTTATAGCAGCATAGTATTCCATTGTGTAGATGTACCACAGTTTCCTAATCCACTCATCTGATGATGGGCATTTAGGTTGTTTCCAAATCTTAGCTATGGTAAATTGTGCTGCTATGAACATAGGGATGCATATATCCTTTCTGATTGGTGTTTCTGGTTTACTGGGATATAGTCCTAGAAGTGGGATTACTGGGTCAAATGGGAGTTCCATTTTTAACTTTTTGAGGGAACTCCATACTGCCTTTCACAGTGGCTGCACCAGTCTGCATTCCTACTAGCAGTGCATGAGGGTTTCTTTTTCTCCACATCCTCACCTGCACTTGGCCTTTGTTGATTTGTTGATGATAGCCATTCTGACAGGTGTGAGATGGTATCTGATTGTTGTTTTGATTTGCATTTCTTGGATGATTAGTGACTTTGAGCATGTTTTCATATGTCTCTCGGCTTTCTGTATGTCCTCTTTTGAAAAGTGTCTACTTAGGTCCTTTGCCCATTTTTTTTATTGGATTGTTTATCTTTTTTTGTTAAGTTGTATGAATTCTCTGTAAATTTTGGAGATTAAACACTTATCTGAAATATCATTGGCAAATATGTCCTCCCATGCAGTGAGCTTTCTTGTTGTTTTGTTGATGGTTTCTTTTGCTGTGCAGAAGCTTTTTATTTTGATGTAGTCCCATTTGTTTATTTTCTCACAGAAAGAGAAACAAACAAAAAAAAATTCCCATTTACCATTGCAACAAAAAAATTAAGATATTTGGGAATAAGCTTAACTAAGAAAGTAAAAGACCTGTACTCAGAAAACTATGGGGCATTGAAAAAACAGATAGACGAAGACATAAACAAATGGAAGAACATACCATGTTTTGGATTGGAAGAATCAACATCATTAAAGTGTCCATACTACTCAAAGCAATCTACAGATTTAATGCCATCCCCATTAAAATACCAATGGCATACTTCAAAGATCTAGAACAAACTCTCCAAAAATTCATCTGGAATAAAAAATCCACAAATAGCCACAGCAATCCTGAGAAAGAAGAATAAAGTTGGAGGGATCACAATACCTGATATCAAGCTATATTACCAAGCCACGATTCTCAAAACTGCCTGGTACTGGCACAAGGACAGACATATAGATCAATGGAACAGAACAGAGAACCCAGAAACATTACGCTCAATTAATAATTGACAAGGGAGGCACGAGCATACAATGGAGTCAAGACAGTCTCTTCAATCAATGGTGCTTGGAAATTTGGTCAGGTACATGCAAAAAAATGAAACTAGACTGCCAACTTACACCATACACAAAAACAATCTCAAAATGGCTAAAGGACTTCAATGTAAGACGGGAAACCATAAAGTCCTACAAGAGTCCATAGGCAGCAAAATAGCAGACGTATGTCGTAGCAATATGTTTACCAACACAGTTCCTAGGGCAATGGAGTCTAAAATTCCAAGTCTCTTAAGGATCAACCCCAGAACTCTATTTCACCTTTGCCTCATTCATCAGTGGAAACAAATCATAGGGTGGTAACTATTCAAGAGATGGGAAAAAGTTTCCTATCTTGATGACAGGAATTGGAGAAAATTTTGAGGCCATCTGCTGACTGGATAATCTGCCTCAGAAGATATGGTATAGATTCAAATATATGCTTTTTACTATATACTAATTCAAGATAAGTTGTGGTTCTTTGTTGAAGAAGAATAATTCTAAGGAACCAAGTGATTAGTAATGGCACAAGTGAGAGTGCACTAAGATTCAACTATATGGCCCTGACTGTGGCTCAGTGGTTAGAGCATCGGACCTCAGACCCGATTCCCTGTCAAGATTATATACTTTGGTTGCAGCTTCCACAGCCCAGTAGGGTTCTGTGTAGGAGGCAACGAATAGACGTATCTATCTCACATCAGTGTTTTTCTCTCTGTCCCCTTCTCCCTCCCTTCCACTCCTCTAGAAATAATGGAAAAATATGCTCAGGTGAGGATTTAAAAAAAAAAAATTCAAATTTTTTTTTTTTTCACATTATATTTCCATTTATCCTCCCAAACATTTTACTTTTTGTTTGGCTGGAGATACAATATGGCATTATTTTCTACTTTTGGTTTTCAATGAACATTTTCCTTCATTCAGATTTAAAAATTATTTCTTACACTTTCCATAAAAATGCAGAATATAGGTAGTTGAAAAACATTTTTCTATTACCCAAAAGAGCACTTTAAAAAGTAAAACTGCCCTGACCCGTTTGGCTCAATGGTTAGAGCGTCGGCCTGCAGACTGAAGGGTTCCAGGTTATATTCCAGTCAAGGGCATGTACCTTGGTTGCCGGCACATCCCCAGTGTGGGGTGTGCAGGAGACAGCTGATAGATGTTTCTCTGTCATCCATATTTCTAACTCTCTATCCCTCTCCCTTCCTCTCTGTAAAATATCAATAAAATATATTTAAAAATAAATAAAAAGTAAAACTGAAGACTATAAAAATAAGTGAAACTGCAGACTATAAGAGAGAGTCCAGAAATGTTAAGTATGCCACGTAAGCATCAATTGTATTAGTAAATCACAATGTATTTATTTTACTTATTTTATTACTTTTATTTTGTATTTTTTAAACTTATCTTTATTGTTGAAAGTATTATAGATGTCCTCTTTGTTTGTGTTTTTTCTTCCCCATTGACCCCCTCCACCCTGTACCTGCCCTTCCCAGGCCTTCACCACTCTATCCTATCTAATAATAGCCAAACATGGTAACTGGCCATACCTTCACTATGCCTCCCATTGGCTAATCAGCATGATATGCAAATTAATCGCCAACAAAGATGCCAGTTAATTTGCATATACTGGCTGGGAGAGAAGCAAGCCAGGTGGCCAAAAACAAGCCAGAGGGTGGAGGCGGGAGCAAAACAAGCTGGGTGGTGAAGGGAGCCGGGGGTGAAACAAGCCGGCCCGGGCAGCGGAGGGTGGTGGAGGGAGAAAAAACCGGACTGCAGAGACGGGAGCGAAGCCCTCCTCAGTGGGTTTCGCTCCCTTCTCTGC